ACTCAGGGTAGTGCCCTTGGGGCTCCCCTGGTGGCTCAGATGGTAAAGAATCTTCCTGCAATTCAGGAGACCTGGGTTCGATCCCTGGGTCAGGAAGATCCCCTGGAGGAGGGCATGGCTACCCACTCCAGTATTCTTGCCTGGAGAATCCCATGGACAGAGGAGCCTGGCAGGCTGCAGTCCACGGGGTCACAAAGAGTCGGATACAACTGAGCAACTAACAACAACATAATGCCATTGACACCCATCCAAATTGTTACACCAATAGTTTGTTCCCTTCTTTAAAAGATTTATTCATTTTTGGCTGTGCTGGGTCTTTGCTGCTGCACGGGCTTGCTCCAGTTGTGGCAGGTGGGGGTTACTCTCTGATTGTGGCACTCAGGCTCCTCATTGCAGTGGCAGCTCTTGTGGCAGATCATGGGCTCTAGGACACGTGGGCTTAGTTGACCTGCACATGGGGGCTCTTCCCGGACCAAGGATTGAACCTGTTTGATTGAACCAGGGATTGGCAGATGGATTCTTTCTTTTCTTCAAATAACCTGTTTATTTTATTTGGAGTCTTCTGGGTAGTATTTTTAAAACTTATTTTTTAATTGAAGGATAATTGCTTTACAGAATTTTGTTGCTCAAACCCCAACATGAATCAACCATAGGTACACATATATCCCCTCCCTTTTGAACCTCCCTCCCATCTCCCTCCCATCCCAGCCCTGTAGGTTGACACAGAGCCCCTGTTTGAGTTTCCTGAGACATACAGCAAATTCCCGTCGACTATCTACGTTACACATGGTCATGTAAGTTTCCATGTTGTTCTCTCCATACGTCTCACCCTCGCCGCCCCTCTCCCCGTGTCCTTAAGTCTGTTCGCTATGTCTGTTTGTCCATTGCTGCCCTGCAAACAAATTCCTCGGTACCATCTTTTTAGATTCCGTTTATGTGCGTTAGTATAAAGTATTTCTCTTTCTCTTTCTGACTTACTTCACTCTGTATAATAGGCTCTAGGTTCCCCACCAGGGAAGTCCAGTTTGTTTCCTTTTAGGATGCTAACTTATTAAAGCGAGGCTACTTCTGAGGGCGCCCAGCATCACTCTGAGGGTGTGTGGATCCGTGTCAGGTTAATGTTGGAGACAGCAGCACCTTTCTTAGGAGTTAGAAAGAGACCTCCTGAGAGAGGCCTTCTCTGACCGTCGATTCTAAAATTGCCCTTCCAGTGGCCATTAATAATTCTCTTATATTTGCTTCATCAAATGTATGCCCCTGCTTGATTTGTCTTTTCCCCTTGACAATGTGACTTGTTTGCCCCCTCTGCTCGCCCAGAGCCGGGACCGTCTGGGCCAGGATCCCCCGCACTCAGGATTTGTTGAGCGAGTGGGTAGCAGATGCTGCTGGTGCCTCCCCTGGTCCTTCACCCTCCCACTGGGGCCCCTGCTGGCCGTTCTTCCACCTGCCAGCAAACCCCTCTCTCCTATGGAGGGTTTGTTTGCTCGTCTCCAGGACCCACTTTGCTTCCCCTGCACCAGGTCCAAACTGGCGGGGAATGGAGCCCCCAGGAGCAGCCCTGAACCTGCGCAGATGGGAACTGGAGCATGGATACAATGATGGGAACTGGAGTGTGGATACACACCGGCTCCTTCGTCCTTCCCCGTCTAAATCAACTCCTTATACTGGAATTCTTGCCTCAGGGTCTGCTCCTGTGGGAACCCAAACCCAGACAGAATGATTGAATGAATAAATGAAAAACCTAAGTTTGAATCCTCACTCCATGGACTTCCCTGGTGGTCCATTGAGTAAGACTCCACACTCCCATTGCAGGGGGCCCAGGTTCGATCCCTGGTCAGAGAACTAGACCCCACATGCCTCAACTAAAGATTCTGATTGCCTCAACTAAGACCTGGCACAGACAAATAAATCTGTCTTTTAAAAAATTCTCACTCCACCACATTCGCAAACCACATCTTTGATGGTCTCTGATCTTCCTTCAGTGACTCACCATCCGTCTCCCTGCTCCCAGGGCTTGGAGGGAACCCAATGGAATAACAGCAGCAGTGCCCAGGTACTGATTCTTGTTCGACTCTCCTGATTACCACCTGCGATGGGCAGGTGCAGCCGACACCCTGCCTTCTGGGCTGGCACCTGGAGCTTTGCCCAGTGAGCCTTGGGTCAGCCCTCAGCGGCTTCCAGCAGCCTTCCTCCCAGGCACTCTGTCAGTGGAAAGGAAGAGTCAGAAGGCCCGGTGGCTAATGAGGTTCAGAGTTACCTGCAGATTAATGTTCTCTGACTCTGAACAGCACGATTAGCCCTCCCGCTGACAGAAATGTGATGGGAAATCAATTACAGTCCCCACGCTGGCATCTAAGGGTCAGCCTTCAGTCTCTGCCATTGTCAGGCAGCTTCAGCGACCCACTCCAGGCTCCAGCTCAGAGAAGGGATGAGACATCTCCGCTGGGTTTGGAGATGTGCTGTCCTGACCCCTCGCAGCTGCCCAGAGCACTAGAAGTTCCCGCAGAGCTCGAGAAACTTGCCAGGATAAGTCAGAAGCCCTTGAACTCATCTCAGCAGTGTCCTGCCTCCTGAAAGGCACCATTGTCGCTGGGACAAGCCACCTCTGTCCTCCGCGCAGCTGGAGGCTGCGCCTCGTGTCTCCTGGGGGCCAGTGGACCCCCCAAGGCAGCCAGCGTCCCCCCTTCTCCGCTCTGTCAAGTAGCAGGCGCGGTCCTGGGGACAGGAGCCCATGGAGATGTCCTCAGATACAGGGCATTGCTCCTCTAGACAAAAGGGGCAACTTCAGCCAGTGTCAGAGATGCACGTTGTTATTGGGATTTGTGGTTGTTCAGCCCCTAAGCAGGCACCCTAAACTCGAATGCCTGCATTTAAGGGGCCAGGCAAAAGCATAACCAGGGAGGTGAAGTGAGTGTAGAACAGTAGAAAGTGCTGGGGACTGGGGGCCTGGCCACCGGGGCAACATACTCAGCTGCAGCTGTCAGGGACCCTACGTTGCCACGTCTTCCAAGTCTATAGACAAGCTAGACATCTATCTCTGAGGGGCAGGAGATATTTTCCATCTTTACATTTTGGCAACAAATTGCCTTTTTCAGGAAGCAACAACAACTGCAGCACTTAGTGAGCTAAACAAAACAGCTCTGCCGGCCAGATGGTTTTAGTCTCTTCTTGGAAGTTTCAGTGAGGGATTTCTCTGGTGGTCCAGTGGTTAGGTCTCTGAGCTTCCAATGCAGGGGGTGTGGCTTCAGTCCTTGGTTGGGGAACTAAGATCCCACAGGCCCTGCGGCACAGCCAAATAAAGAAAAATAAAGTTTCCATGAGAGGACAGATATTAGCAGGTGAATTTTATGTATTCAGTTATTTCTTTATTCAACTGTTGTTCCAAAAATTCGATTCAAAGATTTTTGTTGTCATTTCCCAGGTGCCAAGGAACTGTGCTGAATGCTAAAGGTTCTGGAATGAATGAGAAGAGCTTGAAGCTGAGTGTGTGTGTGTGTGTGTGTGTGTTAGGGGGGTGTGACATAGACATGAAGACAGGCAATCGTGGGGCACTGAGTAAATGATACCCACAGGCATATTGAGGAGCTGTGGGCACCTAGATGGGGGAGTGACTGTGTCAAGGGAAAAGGTGACTGTGGAGGCGACAACACACTTGAGCTAAATTGTCCTTCTGTGAGAAGGACAGAAGAGTGTGTTTGTGTGTGTGTGTGTGTGTGTTTTAATCTATTTGTCTATTTTTGGCTGCCCTGAGTCTTAATGTTGCTATGCACGGGCTTTCTCTAGTTGCAACAAGCAGATGCAACTCTCTATTGTGGCACACAGGCTTAGTTACTCTGCAGCATATGGGATCTTCCAGGACCAGGGATAGAACCTGTGTCCCCTGCATTGGCAGGCGGATTCTCAACCACTAGACCACTAGGGAAGTCCCAGGGCAGGAGAGTATTGCAGGCCGAAGCCCATCCTGTACAAAGGCGCAGAGGCCGAGCCAGCGTGGAGATGTTGGGGAGCAGCTGTGAGTTTTGTCCAGACAGAGAGCAGAAGAAAAGGTGCCCAAAGAGACCAGGGACAGCAACCAGAGCTGAGAGACGTCCCCTCCCCACCCCCGTTTCTCCTTTTCCATCTCCATCTCAAGCGCTCATGATACAAAATCTTGTTGGTGTGAATGAAAATGCCAGCAAGACTGCCCTGCTCCTCTGCCTCTTTTGCCTTGAAAGTGGCCTTGGCAGCTTCTCCGGAAGGCGGAAACTGCACACGGGGGTCCCAAGGCTTGGAAACCCAAAGGGAACAGAATAAATCCCAAGGCTCAGTGCCATGGCCCCGTCCCAACAGACGCCTGAGCCAGGTTCTTTCTTTTCTATTTTTACATTTTTAAAATTCTACAGGGTTTTACAAAAGAAAATCAAAGGCTCTGTTTGCCAGGTTAATCAAACGAGCGCAAGTCATGGCTCTTTTCCCGTCCTTCTCCCTCCAGTCTCTCTCCCCGCAAAGCCGATTAGGTTGATTAAAATAAAGCCCGCTGCAATTTAAATTCAGTCTGGTTGGCAGGGCCGAGGGGCCCCTGTGGCGGCTTTGTACCGATGATGGAGTCGAGGGTCAGTAGCCTGCTCCCAAGAGCGATCCAGATGGGGTGAGATCTAAGACCCCACCCGGGATGATGCACAGGAGGCGGCTGGCTTCCCACCCTTATCCTTCGCTGGTTTCCATAGTCACTGCTCATTTACTGTGGCTGGTGGTGGTGGTGTAGTTGCTCAGAGTGTCCCGGACTCTTTTGCGACCCCATGAACTGTAGCCCGCCAGGCTCCTCTATCCAGGGGGTTTCCCAGGCAAGAATACTGGAGTGGGTTGCCATTTCCTTCTCCAGGGGATCTTCCTGATTGAGCCCACGTCTCCTGCATCACAGGCAGATTCTTTACAGACTGAGACAAAACTGGGAAGATTACTGTGGGGTAAGGCAGAAATGTGCTAACCATAACAACGTCCTTCTCTTGCTGGCATTTCAGGGCAAGAAAGACCCTTCCCTGTGGACGTGCCCCTTCCACCCGCCGCTCCAGCTCTTTTTTGTTATCCGCAACACGGGACAGCTGCATGACTTTGGTCTAACCAAGATCAAGGTTTGGAATTACTGGACGGCTGACGGCGTAAGTAACAGGCTCTGGTTCCTCACTGAGCATTTGACTGATGGAAGCACGTAGCATTTTCCATAACAGGATTCATTCCCCAAGCTGCAAAATGAGGATCAAGTAGCCCCACTGCCTTTCCTGCTGGGAATTTTCACTTTGCACTGTCAGAGCCCCCCAGGGGCAGAGCCTCTGCTGAAGGCTGGGGAAGTGGAACCAGGTCACCCTCCGGGGGAACTGGAGAAACATGAACTGAGGCTCCGATTTAACAGATACCAAAACAGACATATAGAGAGATTATGTCACGTGGCCCAAGTCACACAGCTAGTGAGTGTCACAGTGAGAATCTGAACCCCTGCAACTGGACTCCAGGCCCATTTGCTTCGCCAGCGCTTCTCAAACCATAATCCACAATGACTTGCTTGGGATCTTGATTAAATACAGGTCCTAATGAGAGGGTTGGATGGCATCACTGGTTCAGTGGACATGAACTTGGGCGAAGTCCGAGAGACAGTGAGGGAAAGGGAGGCCTGGCGTGCTACAGTCCATGGGGTCACAAAGAGTCGGACACGACTTAGTGACTGAAAAACAACAATCCAGCGAGTCCAGGGCGGGCCCAGGATTGTGCGTGTGCAGCCAGTTCCGAGGTGTACAGTGCTCCTGCTGTGTGCACCTCACTCCAGACAGCCAGGCTCTTAATGTCTGTGCCCTTTGGCCTCTCTGATTTCAGAACCCCTCCCCTTCTTCCTACCGTCACACCACTACCCACACCCAGGTCCTCATTCTTGCTTTCTCTAAGCTATTTTCCATGTATTCATTTGCATTTGTTCCTTCATTGAATACTGGTTCTTGAGCACATCCTAAGTACCATCAGGTTTCATGATCGATTCTGAAGACACTGATATAAAGATGTAGTCTACGCCTTGAGGTATCCATTGTCCGAGAGCTGGCAGACAAGTGATGCAGATGAATGAGACAGTGTGATGAAGACCTTGATCAAGCTGAACCCAGAGTGCCATGGGTTTCAAACAGAAACCTCAGGGACTCTGCAGAGAACTCAGTCGGTGAGGAGGGACAGGACTTGGTTTCCCTTCTTTTGCTAGAAAAGGGGGCATGAACTATTCTACTTTCCTTTATAAGTGGCTATAAGGGAATCGATAGTACAAGCAAGATGATAAATGGGAACCAATTCTCAGCCTCAGTCTTGTTAGGGAGACACTGGGACCTGGTGGGGAGTGCAGTAGACTGGCCAACACATGGCCCAGTTATGTGAAAAACGGCAGGCCGTTTTTCAGTTTTAACTAATGTTTGCTATGGAGCAATGCCAGCCAGTGCTGCTAGATCTTCTGAACATTTCAGGGGAGCTGGAAATCTGAGTTGAGCTAGTTTGTTTTGCAAATGTCAGTAGCTAACTTAATTTCTGAAACCACCATATCTGTGCGTGCTCAGTCGTGTCCAGCTCTTCGCGACCACCAGGCTCCTCTGTCCATGGGATTTTCCAGACAAGAGTACTGGAGTGGGTTGCATTTCCTTCTCCAGGGGATCTTCCCAACCCAGGGATCAAATCTGAGTCTCCTGCATTGGCAGGCAGATTCTCTACCACTGTGCTACCTGGGAAGACCAAACCACCATACAGTTCAAACCAAATTCATCTTTGAGCCAGAGCTGGCTGTTCCCTGATTGCACCCTCTGGAGCCTGGAGGAGAGTGTCCACCTTGAGCTGGAAGAGGTCAGGGAAGGTATGAAGGGAGAGCACACTTGAGCTTTAGTGGGAAGAGAAGCCCTGAGCCAGGCAGAAAAGGGAAAGCATCTCCAGGTGGAGGGAGATGCTTGGGCGAAAAGAGGTGTGGAAAAGTATGACCTCCTAACCGCTCTCCCTGATCCCAGGCCCAGGCCTCTGGTTTGTCTCCAGTAGCCCCTGGGAGGTCTGATCATGACTATGCCTTCAAACCCTCAAGGTCAGTCAGTTCAGTCACTCAGTAGTGTCCGACTCTTTGCGACCCCATGAACTGCAGCACATCAGCCTTCCCTGTCCATCACCAATTCCTGGAGCTTGCTCAAACTCATGTCTATCGAGTCAGTGATGACATCCAACCATGTCATCCTCTGTCGTCCCCTTCTCCTCCTGCCTTCGATCTTTCCCAGCATCAGGGTCTTTTCCAAGGAGTCAGTTCTTTGCATCAGGTGGCCAAAGGATTGGACCTTCAGCTTCAGCATCAGTCCTCCCAATGCTCAAACTTCAAAGCCTTCCCTTGATCCATAGAATCCAGGTCAGACCTCTGAGTGTGACATCAGGGCCCCCTAATCCCTGTGTGTCAGACCTGCCTCTGTCTCATTACCCGCCCCTTGCTCATGCCCCCCTCCAGAGTGCCAGCTGCTCTCAGAGCTCTCCACCCCCCTCCCATGTAGGTACAAATTTAGTCCCCGGCCCCTCCCATCTCACTCAACTCCAGATGCTTGTCTATGTCTCATATTCCTGGAAGACCCAGGCATCGCTTTCTCCAGGGTGCTCACCTGACCCCCAGCTCTTGTGCACTTCTGTACCGCATGAACTAGTTCCACCACCCTTAGATCAGGATACACACCTGCCTCCCCCATCACTCCATGGGCCTCTTGGGAGCAGGGCCTGAGTCTTCACCACTGTTATATTCCAAGTAGAAAAACATGCTGTCTAATGAATGAATGAGTTCATTCCCCTAAGAGCCCGTAAGCAGTTGTCTCATCCTCCTTGAGATCCAGACGAGTGACCTACAGCAGAGGAGGTTAGGATGCCTTCCCCAGGCCATACTGCAGGTTAGAGGCCAACCAGGAGACCCCGTGCCTCGTCCCTCCTTCCCGTCCTCTCCTCCCCTCCTGCACCTCTTCCTGCTGGTTCTCCACCCACCCACTCACCCAGCCACAGTGACGTGTGCTGTCACTTCAGTTGTGTTTGACTCTTTGTGATCCCATGGACTAACCCCACCAGGCTCCTCTGTCTATGGGATTTTCCAGGCAAGAATACTGGAGTGGGTTGCCATTTCATCCTTCAGGCCATCTTCTCGATCCAGGGCTAGAAGCCGCATCTCCAGGTGGATTCTTTACCACTGAGCCATCCCTCCAGCTCCCAGAACATCTGCTGGGCTCTGGGGATCTAGATGCTAATGTGGCAGACAGTGTCCCAGCCAGCTCTGTTGACACACGATACCCCTCAGTGAAGTAACAAAAAGTTCTCTGATTTACGGTTTTTTTAAAAAAAACAAATGCCTAAAGTTTAAATTTGAGAAACAGTTCAAACCACTGGATAAGTGAGGAGGTTCCTGTGGGCATATCAGGCTCCCCTCCCCACCCCCATGGCCAGCTTTGACCCAGGGTGTGTCCTCCAGGCCCGGGATGGAGCCCCAGCCCCAAGTAGTGGGCTCCCAGCATCTCAGGCTGGGTCCTCCAGTCCACCCAGCCCTTCATGGCAGGCGGTCATCAGCATCTTCTGGAATGAGTAATGAAACAGCACTGACTGCCCAAGCCAGGGCCCTGTAGCCTGGCCCTGTCATTGACTATACAGCTCAGGCCAAGAAAAGCGGATTTTTCTGTGCTGGATTACAAAGGAGATAAGCTTCATCTCTTTTGGCCGCAGCCTGCCTTTCTTCTTTAACCTGCACTCGGCCTTCCCTGTGTGCCGAGAATAGAAAAGAGGGCCAGGACGTCAGGGCCTTGTGGCGGGCGTTCTGGGGGGCGCGGCTGCTGGGATTAGAGACTCCGGGTGTTCCAACACAGAGGAGCGCGTGCAGGACCGCAAGCCCCGGCAGGGCCACCACTTACGTAACGCACACCCATCTGTTGCCAGCATTTTCCGGGGGCAGAAAGCACAAACAAATGCAGCTGCAGGTTGGTTTGATTTAATATTCTCCAGAGAATGCTATTACTGTGTGTTTTAGAGGAGATAAAATGAGAGTTTATAGGAAATATAGCTCAGCCCGGTAGACACGGCTTGTTAAGACGGGTGTTTTGTGTCTGGGAATCTGAGGAAGCAAAGTTCAATGCGAGGCACTAATCCAACCAAGGCTTATTTAAGAGCATAAGAAAAGAAGGTGCTGGAAGAATGGGAGTCTCTTATTGGGAGATCTGCTGCCTGTTTAAATCCTCGGGCTAACTTGGATGGGCTCCTTCACCCTCGTTAGGTAATGCGGGGATTCGGAGCCGGCCCGGAGGAGAGGACTTCCGGGCAGGGTAAGGACTCGGAAGCCAGCATCAGTTCACGCAGCCGCACAGGGCGGCCGGCAGATGTGGGTATTCATCACGGCTGCCGTTTTAGCCAGCACAGTGCGCATCGGGCAGGCGTGAGGCCCCGAGTAGGGGCTCCGTAAACATTTTTTTCTTAAATAATTTTATTGATTGATCGATTGATTTTTGACTCTGCTGGGTCCTCGTTGCTGCGCAGGTTTTCTCTAGTTGCCGCGAGCGGGGGCTACTCTCTAGTTGGGGTGCACGGGCTTCTCAGAGCAGTGGCTTCTCCTGATGCGGAGCACGGGCCCTGGGGCTCCTGGGTTTCAGTAGTTGAGGCTCCCGGGCTCTTAGAGCACAGGCTCAGTAGTTGTGGTGCTCGGGGCTTAGTTGCTCCGCAGCATGTGGGATCTTCCTGGATCAGGGATCGAACCCGTGTCTCCTGTATTGACATGTGGATTCTTTACCACTGAGCCACCAGGGAAACCTGCTCCGTAAACATTTGATGCCTTATGATGAAATGCATCATCTCAATTAACCTCCTACCCATCCTACAAGTGGACGTTGTCAGGCCCCACCTTGTAGATGAAGAAGCTGGAACTTAGAATAAAGAGATCCCAGGGAGCAGATAGACTGGCGTTTCTTTTGCCAGCTCTGCTTGGAAGTGGCTGCCTGGAGTGCTGTCTTGAGAAGGATCTGGAACCTTCCTCCTGGTGCATCCAGGACTGATTAGTGCATGGGATTGATCAGTGATGTTTGTCTTGGGCTCAGGAAGAGGATGTGATAATAGGTTTGTCACATTTTGTGATGCTTCCCGAGATTAA